TCTCTTTGTGGTTGTATTTTGTCTCTTTGTAGCTGTTTTGTGTCTATTTGTGGTTGTTTTGTGTCTTTGTAGCTGTTTTGTGTCTCTTTGTGGTTGTTTTATTGTCTCTTTGCTGTTGTTTTGTGTCTCTTTGCTGTTGTTTTGTGTCATGCTGAACAAGTGTTTGAGTCTCTGTGGTTGGACGCCTCACCTGGATGAATACTGATATTTTGGGCTCTGGATTCAAACCCCGTCACGAGAAAGTAAACAAAAAGGTTCGGAGCCATCTCTTAACCCTCTAAAGTCCGATCCAAGAATAAAACAAAACAGAAAATTACTTTTTTTTGGTTAGAAGTCTTTGTTTGGACTTTTCACAAAATATGTAAAAACAAAAATACATTTTTTATATCAATAATTTATTAATATGCGATAATTCCAGATTATTTTTTGTGTAGTCTTTTGCCCCCTGTTATCAGGTGTATCTGATTGTGTACAATAGGATTTTCGAGCAAAGTTTTTACCATTAAATTATGCAAAAGGTGTCAGACGCAAAACATTTCAGAAACCGTATGAATCAAATATGATACATTCTGCATTAAAGGGGTTAAACACACTTTATGAGCCCAGCTCACAGCTCCTGAAGCAGATGAATCAGCTCAGATGACTCAGAGTCACCGTTCGTGTCCTCACGCTGAACACTCAGCACTGATTTGAGCCTCTGTGGTAGAAAACATCTGCCAAATACTGCCGGAATAGATAATAATATTGACCTGCTGCAGGCTGCAGAGGCTTCTTTTCATGTTGTTGTGACGGCTGAAACATAACGATGTCTCTCACTGAATGCTAACAAGCAGAAAGCGAGGCTAAATGTGTGGACCAGATAAGACCAAAAGTACAAAAATAACATTTATTGGACACAGTTAAGTGTATCAGCTGGGCTCTAACAGACTAAAACCTCTCTCTGGGTCTCAGTGGGCAAAGAGCCCTGAGATCTGGGTGATGGGCATTATCTCAAGATGAGGACTGGACACAACCAAGTCCTATTGGCCAGTTACCTCTGGGCAGGAACAGGCCAGGTCCTAATTCATGCAGATGACATTGGAATGTGCTAACAAATGGTGTGTGTGTGTGTGTGTTGACCTAAAGGTGGATCTAATGCAACAGAGAGAGAAAAAGAGAGAAAAGAGAGTCTGTGGACACAGCCAGAGAATTTAACACAAAATATAGTTCTAAAAGGAATAAAAACAATCAGTAATTTACATAGATCATGTGATAGCATACTATGCTAAAGTGAGTCATCATAGCCAAATGCATCGGGTCATTTCAGCTCTACCAGGCATGAGAAAGTCGGAGAATTTAACACAAAAACATTGTTCTATAAGGAATACGACAATCAGTAATTTGGTGTGTGTGTGTGTTGACCTAAAGGTGGATCTAATGCAACAGAGAAAGAAAAAGAGAGAAAAGAAGAGTCTGTGGACACAGCCAGAGACTTTAACACAAAAATAAAGTTCTATAAGGAATAAAAACAATTAATTAATTTACATAAACCATGTGATTCTGTCTTCAGCAGAAGACTCCTCTCACCCAGAGACACCACAGAGCGCCACCGGAAATCATTCCTGCCTGTGGTCATCAATCTGCACAACGCCTCCCTCTGAGAGTCAAACTTAATCTTTATTGACACTATCCACCACTTGTTTTGACCTATATATATATACATATAGTCTTTTTTATTTATGTATATATCTATCTATATCATATGAGGAATTTTGTATATATATATATATGTATATATATATATATACCCTAACCCTAAACCCTATATATATATATATGTACAGACATGTATATATGTATATGCTGCTGTTTTATTTATGGAGCCAGTAACAAAAATAATTTCCCTCTGGGATTATTAAAGTATTTCTGATTCTGATTCTGATTCTGATAGCATACAATGCTAAAGCGAGTAATTATAGCCAAATGCATCGGGTCATTTCAGCTCTACCAGGCATGAGAAAGTCTCTTTAGAATCAGCTGCATCAGCTCCTTGCCTCCCCTCAGACTGTCCCCCTCTCTGAGAGGCAGGTCGGGCCTCTGTGTATCGTCCTATCCTCTCATTTCTCTTCCCTCAGCAGTTTTTCTTCTCCAAACAGTGGCTCACAGGTCCCGTTGGAGAGGAGGGAGGAGGCTTTTCCCCGGTGAGCCGGCGCTCAGCAGCCGGCCGACCGTGGCCGTTCTCTGTCTGCTTCAGGGGAAACAGACGAGGGGGATTTGCTCTCAGATGAGAGGCAGCTGCTTCCTCCCACGCCCACGTCGCGCCCACCTGTTCACAGACTCCAAACACAAGTGAATTCAGCTCCACTTCTGGTTTCATTTGAGCGTTTCCATCAAAGGTGTGTGTGTGTGTGGGTGTGTGTGGGTTAGCAAACAGGGAAATCTGCTCCAGTCCTCTGCAGGGAGACTGGGCTGCGTCAGATCTTTACAAATCACATTTAGGCTCTGAAAATCCTCGTGTTTGTCACACAGCTTATATTGCACCACCAAGACACGAGAAGAGTCCCGTCCATGTACTGTTAAAGTTAAATAAGTATTTGACCCCTTGCTGATTTTGCAGGTTTGCCCACTTACAAAGAATGC